ACTTTATCAACCAGTAGCTGGTGCTTTGCTCCTCTGGTGTTACTACCAATTCTTTTCTGGGCGCTGCTCATGTATTGAGCCATGTGCCTGCTCATCTTAGCTGCTATGATGCCTACTGGTTAAAGAAGCTAACGTCACTTTATGAGCACCTGGCGGGACAAATGAACCAGCTACTAATGGATGGAAACCACCCTGAGTGGTTAACTGAAGGCCGGACAGTCCTGATCCTGAAGGACCCTCAGAAGGGAGCAGTACCATCCAACTACCGCCCAATAACCTGTCTCTGCACAACATGGAAGCTCCTGTCAGGCATCATAGCAGCTAAGATGAGCAGGCGTTTCAGTGACATCTAGTGGCGAAATAGGAGACAGCAAAACAATGGCTTAATAATTATGTGATAAGGGTAACAAAGGTTGGTGTAAATGATGTAAATACATTTTTGTTTGGTGTAGTGTAAGTATGCTGTTGTACTTCCATGAAAATTTAATAACGACTTATTGAAACAGGAAGACCATTGTAATGAAGTTAGGAAGTTGATCTATGACATCAGCCAGGATCCTCAATTTTCTTCTAGCTGGAGAAAGGAGCCTGAAATCTCTTATCTGCAATCAGTTTGATTTACTGTAATCCCCTAGTTACTGTATATATGTTTTTTTTTCAATTTATTTATTTATTTCAACTGATTCATTTGTTTGTTTTGTTCAAATACTAATCTGTGTATGATTTGTTGCTCAGTCTTTTAAGGGTTCTGTAAACAAATTTACTGCCTTGTATATCTGTAAATATCATGCTCAATTCAAACAAAATTATCTCCACACAATTCGTACTTAAGTGTTGGGAGTTTTGAGAGTTCATGTGTGACGTATTGGTTAGTTTAGGTGGTACCGACTTGCTGTGGGGTTTTTGTGCACCCCAGCTAGTGATGGCTGATCGAGGTTTTGTTGAAGCTTCGACACTTCGTTCAAAAAATGGTTCATTACTTGAGGCTTCAATAACATAGTGCTCAAGTAGGACATTTAGTGATCAATAAAATGAAGAGCAACCCAGACGTGTTATTTATAGGTTTGTTAATTGTTTGGGATTTGATTTGCCATGCCAGGTTTCAAGCTGACACAATAAAATGTAAAATAAACATGAACTCATGTTGAAGACCTTGTTTCTTATTTGGCACATCTGATTGTAGTAGGCTAAAGCCATATACTTAACCTGACATTTTGTGCTATGAATCATATTCTATCCTAAAACAAGTCTTTGAACAAACTGTGAACTTCTGTTAAATTGTACTAAAAAGTGTGTATCTGATCAGCTGCAGGGCTAAGATAGACTCTAGTCTAGAACTTACGTCATTAGAATTCCCTAACACACATTGAAGGAAATATGTTTCGCAACCCTTGGCAATTGCTTTGATTTAGATTACCACCAAGTTAGTTCTGTGTCCACTCTGTGGACAGGTCTTGTATGACTGTCAACAACATATTATTTAATTTATATGTTGTCACTCTTTGATATACCTCAACTTACTCAATGCAATCGTTCTGTTTGGAAAGAAAAGTCAAAGGAGGATTTTGTCTCTTCATTATAGGTCAGGGGTGTCAAACTCAATCGCACAGGGGGCCAAAACTCAAAGCACACTTTAGGTCGCAGGGCGAACAGGATAAAAATTTATTGAACTAAACGGATTTTTTTTTTACATAAATATGAATCGAAACAGACAGGATACAATATTTTTCCAAAATAAATAAACTTGAACTTAAAATCATCAGCCGTATTTCTGCTAAGGCTTACATTTGCAAACACCTGCTTTTTGTCTGGACACAAGACGTCGCACACTTTCATCATGCAGCTCTTCAGAAACTCTCCCTCAGTAAATGTCCGGGCTGATTTTCTCCTCTGCCCCAATAAAACTTGCTTTCACAGCAGCTTCACTGTGTGATTTGGCTTTGGTGAAAACGTCTGCTGTGATGTCAGATTCCTCTTCAACTCCTCTACCTTCTGTAGCTTCTGCTCTGCATTCATGTTTTTCAGCTTGTCTTGATGTTTTGTCTCGTAGCGCCATCTTAGGTTATATTCTTTAATTACAGCCACATTAGCTCCACAAATAAGACACACAGGTTTACCGACAATGTCAGTAAACATATACTCAGCCTCCCACCGGTTTAGAAAGGTTCTGTTTTTATAATCAACTTTTCTCTTGGCCATTGTTAGGGGCTAGCTTTGACTTGAAATTAGGGTTGTATACATCAACAGACGCTTGATTGATCGGACGTAATTGATGCGGGAATGATCGCAGGTAGCCTATCGTTCGGTAAGGCATCTGTTGCGCTGCATTATGGGATTTGTAGTTTTCATGTTACCGGCGCTTCATGTCGCCGGGACATAAAAAAAAAAGATATATAAAATGATCTCGCGGGCCGGATGGGGCCCGCGGGCCTTGAGTTTGACACATATGGTATAGAGTATGGCACTGACTCCTCTCATCTCAGCTTCATCATTGCAATTTAAATGCTGCTCTCAAGAGTTGAACACACAGGTGTCCTACGAGTTGTCTTGACAGTGTTATCGATGTGTACTAGACACAGCTTGGTAACCATTGTCTACCATTAAAATAAATTTGTAACATCACAGTATTCTGGCCCTTTCCTTTATCTAGTACTGTTTCAGACCTAATCATATAGCGCTCCTATACCACACTAAGCAACTGTTTGGTCTGAGAAGCTGGAATTTAGGAGGAGCACTTGAATGCAACAGTGCTTTTAAAAATGAAACAACAATAATAAAAACTTCTTTATCTTTAATCATTATGTTTTATTTGTGGTTGAAAGACTTGTGCTACAGACAAACCAACATATAAATTTGTATAAATAAAATATTAAATGCTAGTCAGCGAATTTAGATTAACAAACTAAATATAACATTTCATGTAAAGGTTTTTACATTGTCTCGATTGTGATATTAACAGCATATCAGTATTTTTTATAAGTGTGTGCTCTACACCATAGGTATGTGTCAATTCACTGACAGTATAGATTCTGAGATTAGTTGCATTTTACACCACACTGTACTAACCATAATAATCAAGGCATCCTGTGTACAGTGCATGAAGAAAACCTGCAGGAATTGTAGAACAAACTGCAGACACAGTTCTCTCTCTCCCTCTGTGACATGCCGACACACGCACCTCGCACAGAGCAAGTTTAAGGCCTTTATTCAGGACAATCACATCAAAAACACCAGTTTTCAATCAGCAATAGCTTATCTACCAGTCAGGAAAAATATATATTCATTCACTTAAAATTAATGATACAAACATTTTAAAATAATTTGTCAAACCCATTTTTTTTACTGTTCTATAAGTTTAAGTCCCTAACACTCAGATCTCGTGTTATGTACATGATGCACAATGCAGACTAGGTTGACTACCTATCCTTGTTGCTACGAAGATCGGTCGTCAAGGGGTCATGCTGAATAGTTTGGTGCAACATAAGAGCGAGCAGACCAGCTCTGTTGGTCATAGCAGTCCTGACATTACGCTCCTGTTCAAAGAGCTCATCCAGCTTGTACCACTGAGAAGGCAGAAAAAAAAACTGTTAATGGTGAAAAGACTTAATATTTTAAGTGAACACTAAATCTTTCACTTTACTCATTGTGGTCTGTTAAGACAAAGTACACATTTGCTTTGGTCAGATGTAACTTCAGGTTGGAGACATCAACACAAATCTTCCTATATCCAACTGGACAAACACACAAAGTACTAAGGTGTAATTGAAAAGCCCATAACATGCTGAGGTTACTGCATGTCCAGGAATGTTCTTGTACAGGGACTTACTGTTCTACCTGACCGGGTCTAACCTACATGCAGCCGGCCAGTGAAGCCCCCCACGGCAGTGAATTGATCAGCTCATTAATGCTGGTTTTCCCCAGAGCACAGTACCTCTTTGCTTTGACTGCTTGAGGCCAGTGTGTCTGCCACATGTGATGTGTTGCTGGTTAAGGAACTAATTAATGACCCATGATATTATTTTCGGTTGCATGCTACCTGCTGGGACTGTACAGTGCCTTGCGAAAGTATTCGGCCCGCTTGAACTTTGCGACCTTTTGCCACATTTCAGGCTTCAAACATAAAGATATAAAACTGTAATTTTTTGTGAAGAATCAACAACAAGTGGGACACAATCATGAAGTGGAACGAAATTTATTGGATATTTCAAACTTTTTTAACAAATAAAAAACTGAAAAATTGGGCGTGCAAAATTATTCAACCCCCTTAAGTTAATACGTTGTAGCGCCACCTTTTGCTGCGATTACAGCTGTAAATCGCTTGGGGTATGTCTCTATCAGTTTTGCACATCGAGAGACTGAAATTTTTGCCCATGCCTCCTTGCAAAACAGCTCGAGCTCAGTGAGGTTGGATGGAGAGCATTTGTGAACAGCAGTTTTCAGTTCTTTCCACAGATTCTCGAATGGATTCAGGTCTGGACTTTGACTTGACCATTCTAACACCTGGATATGTTTATTTGTGAACCATTCCATTGTAGATTTTGCCTTATGTTTTGGATCATTGTCTTGTTGGAAGACAAATCTCCATCCCAGTCTCAGGTCTTCTGCAGACTCCATCAGGTTTCCTTCCAGAATGGTCCTGTATGTGGCTCCATCCATCTTCCCATCAATTTTAACCATCTTCCCTGTCCCTGCTGAAGAAAAGCAGGCCCAAACTCCCCTGCCAGTTCTTTCTAGTATCATCAGGCCCGTTTGTTTCTCGTTGTTCTTAGCTTTATATTGTACTCACGTTTTTGTCGCCCTAGCCCCGTTCCAGTCTTGTGCCCCATTGTCTCAGCCTCCTCGCCTCTGTTGCTTCTCCGGACCACGAACCTCCTCAATCCCGCACCATCTCCAGCACGCAGGTCGATGCACAGTCTCCCATTAACTGCATGTACTAACTCTGTCTCCTCAGCAACCTTCCACCACGACCAGCCCAGCAGTGAGTCCCAGCGTCCGCAGCCTGGCCTTTCCCTCATCATTCCACCACTGACTGTTATTCACCTTCTGCGGCTTGACACCCGGTCCCACTTCAACCTGGTCATTCACTTCCTTGTAAGATATCACTGTAAATAAACCGAGCACTACTTGCACTGAAGTCAGCCACCTGGGTCCGTCCTTTTTTTGACTCGCTCACCTCTGTGTCTGAGTGGATCTAACAACCATTCACAGCCACTGTATCAGATGTTTGTAATATGGTTTCATTTCTTCCTTAGTTGAACAATCTAGGCAAAACAAAGAGGTGTACCATCAGTACCAGGAGCTTGCTTGAGTAAATGTACTTAGTTATTTTCCAAAACTACTGTGTTGTTGGTGTGGACTGTAATATAAAAAGGTGTTTCTGTGAAAAATGACCTGGGAGAACTGGGAGATCCTTTGTCAGGAGCCTTACATATATAAGCTTTAGCTGTACTTTAGTATTTTGTCAGCATTGTACAGTAGCTGAATAAACCTTTGTGAAGTTAGGCCTACATTGCACTACCTGCAGTAATTTTTACAGTGCCTTGCGAAAGTATTCGGCCCCCTTGAACTTTGCGACCTTTTGCCACATTTCAGGCTTCAAACATAAAGATATAAAACTGTAATTTTTTGTGAAGAATCAACAACAAGTGGGACACAATGATGAAGTGGAATGAAATTTATTGGATATTTCAAACTTTTTTAACAAATAAAAAACTGAATAATTGGGCGTGCAAAATTATTCAGCCCCTTTACTTTCAGTGCAGCAAACTCTCTCCAGAAGTTCAGTGAGGATCTCTGAATGATCCAATGTTGACCTAAATGACTAATGATGATAAATAGAATCCACCTGTGTGTAATCAAGTCTCCGTATAAATGCACCTGCACTGTGATAGTCTCAGAGGTCTGTTTAAAGCGCAGAGAGCATCATGAAGAACAAGGAACACACCAGGCAGGTCCGAGATACTGTTGTGGAGAAGTTTAAAGCCGGATTTGGATACAAAAAGATTTCCCAAGCTTTAAACATCCCAAGGAGCACTGTGCAAGCGATAATATTGAAATGGAAGGAGTATCAGACCACTGCAAATCTACCAAGACCTGGCCGTCCCTCTAAACTTTCAGCTCATACAAGGAGAAGACTGATCAGAGATGCAGCCAAGAGGCCCATGATCACTCTGGATGAACTGCAGAGATCTACAGCTGAGGTGGGAGACTCTGTCCATAGGACAACAATCAGTCGTATACTGCACAAATCTGGCCTTTATGGAAGAGTGGCAAGAAGAAAGCCATTTCTTAAAGATATCCATAAAAAGTGTTGTTTAAAGTTTGCCACAAGCCACCTGGGAGACACACCAAACATGTGGAAGAAGGTGCTCTGGTCAGATGAAACCAAACTTGAACTTTTTGGCAACAATGCAAAACGTTATGTTTGGCGTAAAAGCAACACAGCTCATCACCCTGAACACACCATCCCCACTGTCAAACATGTTGGTGGCAGCATCATGGTTTGGGCCTGCTTTTCTTCAGCAGGGGCAGGGGAGATGGTTAAAATTGATGGGGAGATGGATGGAGCCAAATACAGGACCATTCTGGATGGAAACCTGATGGAGTCTGCAAAAGACCTGAGACTGGGGCGGAGATTTGTCTTCCAACAAGACACTGATCCAAAACATAAAGCAAAATCTACAATGGAATGGTTCACAAATACACATATCCAGGTGTTAGAATGGCCAAGTCAAAGTCCAGACCTGAATCCAATCGAGAATCTGTGGAAAGAACTGAAAACTGCTGTTCACAAACGCTCTCCATCCAACCTCACTGAGCTCGAGCTGTTTTGCAAGGAGGAATGGGCAAAAATTTCAGTCTCTCGATGTGCAAAACTGATAGAGACATACCCCAAGCGACTTACAGCTGTAATCGCATCAAAAGGTGGCGCTACAAAATATTAACTTAAGGGGGCTGAATAATTTTGCACACCCAATTTTTCAGTTTTTTATTTGTTAAAAAAGTTTGAAATATCCAATAAATTTCGTTCCACTTGGTGATTGTGTCCCACTTGTTGTTGATTCTTCACAAAAAATTACAGTTTATATCTTTATGTTTGAAGCCTGAAATGTGGCAAAAGATCGCAAAGTTCAAGGGGGCCGAAAACTTTCGCAAGGCACTGTATGTGGTCGCCTGTAATGCAAGAAATTTGTGGGGAAAGATGTTGGTTGGATTTACCGAACCTTGACACTGGGGTGTAATGTTAAGTTTAAAACAAAAAAGTTTCAGAACAGTTGAGAGAACTGTTGTAAGGCTGGAGAAGTTACTATGTCTGCATTATGCCAATTAAAATATGAGGTTTTTCAATGACCTGCTTTGTTTAAGGTGTTTTACATCTCTTTTCATCAGTACATATACCATTGTTTATCTATCTATGAAGGAGAAATTCAAATTAATTCATGCAGTTGTGGTTCGTCCTGCTGTCCACTTTCGGGCTCGAACATGTCAGGTAGGATTTAAGGTATTGTCACTGTCAAAAACGTAGCTTATTTGTCGGTGTGTTTTGTTTGTGTTGTCCTGGCTTCATGACCAGTCTTGTGTCAAAAAGTGTTCCCTCATCGAGATGTGTTTCCCCTGTTCAAAACTCAGTTTCATGTAGCGCCCCCCTCAGTGGTTGTGGATAGAATAATGTTAGGATTCAAGTTAGGGTAAACAGATTCCAACACAACACCAGCAACAAGAGTTGTGCACATTCATGAACTATCCTCTTGTTCTTAGGAGGAAGATCTCGAGTTTTATTGTTCTGAAATAAATACAGACCATCTTGAGTACCCAAGATTAAACATTAAATGGCTGGAAATGAGAATGTCATGGGCTCTTTAAGGTTCTGATTCTGCCCTTTTGAAATGGCAAAACAGCATCTGGTCTAGAAAAGTTGTCAAACAGGGGTTTCACCATTTGTTCCCATTTCCAGTTCTGTCTTTATAAACTGTCTAGAGTTTAGACTTACCACTCTGACACGCTCCAAGTCCACCTCTGCTCTCCGAAGCTTTTCCCAGTTGTAATGTTTGTTGCATTTCCTTTTTGAGACTCTGCAGTATTCTCCTGTGAGCTCAAACACATTCTTCACAAGAGGACAACCACACACCTCATCAACTGGGACCTAGACTCCAGAAGAGAGAAAAGCAACAAAAAATGGCAGGCTCCACACAAACACAATGCAGGTCTTAGCAGTTTTTACTGGCTGAATGTGTCAACTGACCTTGGGATCTCGGGAATGTTCTGGACACAAAACCTGAAGCCTCTTACAATATGTTTTACTTTGAGGATTGTAGACATCGCAGAAGAGTCTGGTTGCTCTGTGGGAAAATATTAGTAAAGCAACTAATCTAGGTAACATTTCCATCTGCTTTAGATTTTTTGTTTTCTTACCCTTCAATTCTTGTAGGATACATGGAACCAAAAGATGTCTGGCTCTCATACTGTTGAGATAATCATTGGGGAAATAAACAGACAATATGGTTTAGTAGGTTACAGATCTCATGCATAAAGGACAAGATAAATTTTTTTTTTTTAAATCACCTTTGCATAACATCTCTCCATGTGTCTCAGTGCCACTTTTGGATTGACAGGATGACTACAAGATACACAGAAAATCTGCAGGTCTGTGTCCTCACTATCACCTTCATTCACCTGCAAACAGAACCAAGACATTTTATCCCAAAGTGTTAAACATTTGTTCTTGTTCTTCAGCTTGAAATAAATAGACATGCAGGCTCACCTCCTCGTCCTGCTGACCAGTTGTTTCTTCCCGTGCTCCTCAGCGATGCAGGGACTCTGCTGCCATTGCTGGATACGCTGAGGGAGGATCTCATAGATCCGGCTGAGAATCGGAATGAAGACATTTCACTGCTCCAGACTCAACATGATAAGGATTTCCCTTTAATTTTAATTTAGTTAGCTGAGAGGAAAAGCCCTAGAAACACTGTTTATGGGTCACTATACCAAGGGTATCAATAAAAAAGCAATAGAAGGTAAATAAATTGTGATATTTAGAGATGGCAGTGTTGACCCGTTTCTAAGCCGTTCAATACATCTAGCTTCGAGGCCAGGTTTACAACACTGTTTTCATGTGACTGCTGTGTCATTTTGTTCTACAGTCTCTGCTATAGCTGCAGTTCAACTTTCAGCCAGCAGGTTATGTACAGCCAGTATTTGGAATGCTGGGAAACATGACGGTTGTTTCAAATGTTTCTAAACTGTTTTGAAAATTCAAAATTGCCATTTCTAGTGTTATTTAATTACAAACTGTGGGTATAAAATGAAATCAACAGAAAACAACCAAAACCACAGACATAAGTAAAGAAAAAGAAAAACCGCACTATATTTACCTAAGCCAGTTTACTAGTATTTAATTCTTCTAGCACTAAGTGGAGCAACAGTACTGTCATTTGAATACAAAAGCTGCAGCTAATTGACAATGCTTTTCATATGAAATAAAATTTTACTTATTGAGAAGGTTCTGAAAAACACTCCAGTTGTCAGCAGGCAACATAAATGTCTATGTGTATTAAGCGGAGCTTTCGGCTATGTTTGCTCTAACCAAGTCTCTAGAATACAGCATCTATCCTAAAAGAAACACACTAATGCATAAAAAAGGTGAGAGTTCTTACTTGGCAGCTAATTTCATACCACAGTCCTCAGAGCAGTATTTGGAGCTGGGCCTTGCAGCCTCTACACAGTTTGGCCCAAGACACTGACGCAGTCCTCCATTATCCCGCAAATCCCCCTTCTCACTGTGTCTGCTTCTGTCTTTGTGCTTCTGCTTCTGCTTGTGGCGACGGGACTCCTTCTGAATAGTAAAAGATAAAAAACACAGACAACAAAACAAATGTTACTAGCTGTTTCTCCACCATCTAGTCACTTAACTGACCTTCAAATAATAGTGATCATTTCTATGAGGAAACAAATCTTACTTTCTTGTCAAACTTCTTTTCTCTTCTCTTGACATGTTTCACCTTCACAGCTTTCTTACGTATGACCGGACTGAAAGGTGGCTCATCATCATCATCAGTAGCCCATGCCTGGGTGAAAGGACAGCAAAGAATCACTCAGCATACAGTACAGTTCCTGATAAATGTTGCTGAGTGAGTGCATCTAAAATTGGAAGGTTTATATGTAACAATATCATCTCAAATGTCCTGCTACCATATTGTCATCAAGTCCTGCTGCCTTGTACTGCTGGTAGAGTTCTGCTTCACTGTCATAGTCCTCAGAGTAGCGTCTCCGTCTGTGGTAGGAGTTTTCCCTCCTCTCCCGCAAAGAAAACTCCTCATCCTTCACACGCAGCATTTTCTGCGCATAACAACAAGAAAGAGGTTGCACATTTTCCAACACAGTCACAAGGGACTGCACAAATACATCAGAGATAAAAGCATGCTAATGGCTTCAAGAATTCTTTTAAGTTTCAACTTTATGCTTGTGAACTGGTACTTTGCAAGGTAATGTGTGAATGATGCATTTTTTCACATGGCATACATAATTAAAGAACAGGGCCAGAGCGACTTACTCTGGCTCGAACCTCACACTGCCTAAACCTGCACTTCTGTCTGATTTTATTGGGGCCTCCAAACTTCTTCATGTCCTTACAGAAGTCACACTGGGCACAGTCCTCAGTCCTTCTGCAGGGCTCACACTCCCCACACATTCGCACTGAACGCTTCACCTGAGAAAAATCAAATAATGGATGGTTTGAGCCATTACATCCAAGGAACCATGCAATTTTTACATCCTGAATATTAACGTACATTGTTGGCACTTTATAAAGGCCTCCAAGCTAATAATAATGCAATCCAATAATACAAATTAATAGAAACAGCAATATAATGCAGTACAATTGAAGAGCAATATAAACTACATCAACCAAAGTGATCGTGGAAAAAAGGGTCCCTTTTTTTTTTTTTTTTTTTTTTTTTTTTTAAAGAAGTTAAAAAGTTCAAAACTGAAACTGACTGACTCAACAAACCATAAATATGGAAGATTCAATTATCTATTTTTTCTACATATAATTTTGATAATGTTCAGATAATGCTGACAAAACCAAATATTTAGCCAGAAATACAACTTACTTTTGATCCACGTCTTCTTTCACTCCTATAGTCAGGTGTACTTGGGGTACTATACTGTTTATCAGATGATCTGTCAGGCTCAGATTCCTTCTCTCTGCTTTTCTTCGATCTGTACTTAATTTCTAGTGAGGGGTCTTCATCTGGTACAAGGATAATAAAGCAATAATGTCTTGCTTATTTACTTGGTATGTAATATATTTCATGTTAAGCATGCTGTGAAGAATTTATCACCACCTCTGCATCTCATGCAATACCACTCCCGGATTGCCTTTGCCATCTTCTCAGTGATGTTAATGCAGTGTCCATGAAACCACTCATTACAGTTATCACAGCCACTGTCAGTGGGAGAAACAAAAGTAGAAAATAATGTATAAGCATTGTTGCATCTGTACAACTTAATTACAGTGACAGAAATAACAGCATTGGTGTGGTAAACATACATCATGAAGCAGTTAATGTCTGGTTTCCGGCAAACACAGTAAAGTGGTGCATTCTCCCCCTCCATACTGCTGGTTTCAGGGCCTGGTACATGGTCGATGTCAGACATTTCACTGTCCTGAAAAATACAATGCATATTATAAAACATATTACAGTTCTTGGAACTACACTAAAAGCTTAGCAGGTAGCACTCATCACTGGATTATGCAGCGTAAATCTGCCATAACACAGTGTTCCTACCTTGGTCACTTGTAGTGTACTGCAATAATGTTCCAATAGTGCTTAATCAGTATACTGGGTTCTAGTACTGAAATACAGCCTGTTACAGTCGTTACATTCACAATAATTTCTAACTTTATTTTTCTTTCTCTACAACATGTTTTGAAAGATGTCAACATTGTTATTACACTAATGTATAAGTGCCAAACATGGTGTCTAAACAAACAAATGTCAGCCAACTTTCATTAGCTATGCACAGTTTCAGTTCCTATTATTTAACACTAGCGTACGAGTAGCTTCTTATCCCCAGAAGGACAATTTGATGTACTGACATTCAGACACTGAATATCAGAAAAAGGTTAGTTTGTTAGTTAGCTAGCTAGCTAGTGCGCACAGAAAACGGCAAAGTCCAAGCAATACGAACAGCTACTTCGTTTAACGTCACATGCATCTACGCTAGGTGCTAAAGTTAACGTTAGCTCAAACAGTTAACCAGCCAGTTAGCATAAGCTAAATAGACACTTATAATTAACGTTTGCCAGCTAGCCTACTTTGCTCTACCAAATAAACACAAAGTTGTCAAAACAAAAATATTTATAATGTTCAACTTTAACAAGACTTAAATGTGAACGATATAACTCTAAATGGATCGCAACATGATACTGTCGGGTGTGAAGTTACAAGGCGTAACCTATTACTCGACCAAATTAAATTAAATAACTTTACCAAATCGTAAGTCTGGAGCTAATAAAAGCAGTTTTAGAATACCTACCATTATGTGTGATGGGTAAGATATTTAGGTGTCCAGCACATACAGTGGAAAGGGAACAAATATAACACAAAAACAGAGAAATGACTAGCTAGCTCGACTGCTAGTGTTATGCTAAGATTTACACGGAAACAACATCGTTCACAATCGACTGAACTCGTTACTACTCGTTAACGTTATATCCGTTATCATTGGTCGGTGTTCTTCTTCTCTGGTGAAAAATCAACATCCAACTTTACACTATCGTCACCTAATGGAATGGATATAAATGGCGTTTCTTCAAATTGAAAATACATACCATAGCGTACTTCTCCCATTGCTTCTGTGCGACTTTTATTCAGGCCCAAGAAGACATAATATGTCATATTATCTCTTGCAAATCAATATCTAAAATATAACAGAATTATATATAAAATATAATAATATTACTTCATTTATATGAATTACTCTTACCTTAGAAAATTCAGTGTTAAAAACATCTAAGTAAGTAGTAATATTAATACAATTCTTGCACCATTCTTCTTCTTGCTTACACACCCACACAGAGGCACAATTATGATATACAGTATTTTTCATGTGTACTGTCCAAATATAAATTACAAATTGTATTTGAATGTTTTAGCAACATTGTTTGTTAAAACATTCATACCAATAAGGCTTGCTTGAATTGAATTGAACTGAGATTAGAGAGACAGATAGACATAGAGAGAGAGAGAGAGAGAGAGAGAGGGGGGGAGAGACAAAGAGAGAAGCTGCAAAAAAGCCTGCATGATGCATTCACACTTCCACTGCTGAGTGTTGACAACTAGAGGATGCAGCTGTGATTGAAGGGGCATGCTGGATGACTTACTTCTAAAATATGCTGTGAAAAGTAAGTACAATATGTTTCTGTCAAAATGTTTCTTACATGCGTGCAGAGAGCGATAAGATGATTAAACACAGCAGAGATTGTGAATGCAGGCATGGATCACAATCAGAATTTCATGTTTGTGGACACTGATTCTATTCATCAAATTAACTAGATCAAAAGTTATTGAATGTAGTTTTGATTTGACTCATTCAAAATGAATAATATTATATTATACACTACTTACATTTCTTGAAATCTTTTTCAAGCATATCAGATAGTTAAAACAATTAAAAATAAAGTGACTTCACACTTAAATTACTTTAATTATTAATGATAGCAAAATCAAGCTCTCACATTCTCATATAACTCTCAGGATATTCATGTGCTACCTTTCATCTACATTACGACTGTTTCCAAAATGGAGATTAATAATAGATTAACTGCTCTGCCATTTCCAAGATGTCCACTCATCACTAACAGCTAAGAAACCTCAGCAACAGATTGGGCTCTGGTATACTAAATGATGAAGTTTTTCATTTTTCTAAAAAGAAACATAATACATTTAGAGCAATCCCAATTACCTTGTCCATATTTAGTCTTTCAAATTTGTTTGTCCTGATGCAGATGACATACTGATGTGGATGCCAGGATGGGTGCCAAACTGAATTCTGCAGATATGAATGAAAAGATGGATGATGGGAGTGATGACAAATTAGTCTTCCTTGACTTTAAAACCACTTATTTAAAAGCACCCATTAGTGCTGACAGTGTTATGGCAGGTATGTTCACAGCAGTGTTTAGGAAATTGTAACTGTGTGGTATTATAAAAACAGTATGATTTCTATACCTTAGGCTTATCTGTTTCTGGTCATACAGGATATTTGACTGAAGGCCCAAGTTTTTCAGAGCAGATTTCCACTGAAGACACTGAATTATCTTCAACGGACGTCTCTGTGAAAGCGAATGAAACAACAGGTACCTTTTCCTCTATACTCAATACAACAGTAATGGAAGAAGTATTCAATTTGTATTTTACTCCATTGCAAGTAGAAGCCCTGCATTCAAAATCTTAAGTAAAAGAACATTAGTGTTAGCAGCAAAATGTACTTAGTGTCAAAAGTAAAAGTATTACTTTGCAGAATGACCACAGTTAGTGTGCTAGTTTGTTACAGGTTTATTATTGAGGAGCATTTACTGTAAATGCAGTATTTTATTAAAGATAATTTAACTACTTTGTATATTGTTAGGTTAATTAATCCATAACAGTGCATTATATAATGCAAAACTGATCAGAGTTTGTATGTAAAACCTTGGTCTTAAGAGTAATTGGTAACTAAAGCTGTCATGCAGAGTAAAACAAATAGTATTTCCCTGTAGCTGAGAAGAAGTGTAAAAGCATGAAACTGGAATACTCAGTGAAATCACATGTAGGTAAAACTGTGTTTAGGCACACCACTTGAGAAATTACTTTCCACCACTGTATATTGGCTATTTCCAGGCAATGCAGGTTTCATGATTTCTTCATTTTTATCAACTATTTTGTATTCTTGGGTATTTTTGTTTTTTGTGTTTTGTATTGTTATGTATTCTTATATTTAGACTAGGTGTTTGTTATTTTGGTTTTAAACTCTTTTCTTGAATCCAGGAGAGCCCTGCACAAGAATTCCTATACAGTGAGGAACAGAAGTATTTGAACACCCTGCGATTTTGCAAGTTCTCCCACTTAGAAATCATGGAGGGGTCTGAAATTCAGGTTGTAGGTGCATTCCCACTCTGAGAGACAGAATTAAAAAAAAATTTCAGGAAATCACATTGTATGATTTTTAAAGAATTTATTTGTCTTGCCCTGCTGAACTACCATGGGCAAGACCAAAGAGCTGTTAAAAGACACCAGAGACAAAATTGTGGACCTCCACAAGGCTGGAAAGGGCTACGGGGCAATTGCCAAGCAGCTTGGTGAAAATAGATCAACTGTTGGAGCAATTGTTAGAAAATGGAAGAGGCTAAAGACGACTGTCAGTCTCCCTTGGACTGGGGCGCCATGCAAGATCTCACCTCGTGGGGTATCACTGATGATAAGAAAGGTGAGGAATCAGCCCAGAACTACAAGGGAGGAGCTGGTCAATGACATGAAGAGAGCTGGGACCACAGTTTCAAAGGTCACTGTCGGTAGAACACTACGCCGTCATGGTTTCAAATCATGCATTGCACGGAAGGTTCCCCTGCTCAAGTCATCACATGTCCAGGCCCGTCTGAAGTTTGCCAAAGACCATTTGGATGATCCAGAGGAGGCATGGGAGAAAGTCATGTGGCCAGATGAAACCAAAGTAGACCTTTTTGGTCTAAACTTCACTCGTCGTGTTTGGAGGAAAAAGAAGGATGAGTTGCATTCCAAGAACACCATCCCTACTGTGAAGCATGGGGGTGGTAACATCATGCTTTGGGGGTGCTTTTCTGTGAAGGGGACAGGACGTCTGCACTGTATTAAGGAGAGGATGAGTGGGGCCATTTATTGTGAGATTTTGAGCAACAACCTCCTTCCCTCAGTCAGAGCATTGAAGATGGGTTGTGGCTGGGTCTTCCAACATAATAACGACCCGAAGCACACAGCCAGGACAACCAAGGAGTGGCTCCTTAAGAAGCATATCAAGGTTCTGGAGTGGCCTAGCCAGTCTCCAGACCTCAATCAAATAAAACATCTTTGGAGGGAGCTTAAACTCCGCATTGCTCAGCGACAGCCCCGAAACCTGACAGATCTAGAGGAGATCTGTGTGGAGGAGTGGGCCAAAATTCCTGTTGCAGTGTGTGCAAACCTGGTCAAGAACTACAGGAAACATTTGACCTCTGTAATTGCAAACAAAGGTTTCTGTACCAAATATTAACACTGATTTTCTCAGGTGTTCAAATACTTATGTTCAGCAGTGCAAGACAAGTAAATTCTTTAAAAATTATACAATGTGATTTCCTGAAATTTCTTTTTAATTCTGTCTCTCAGAGTGGGAATGCACCTACAACGTGAATTTCAGACCCCTCCATGATTTCTAAGTGGGAGAACTTGCAAAATCGCAGGGTGTTCAAATACTTCTGTTCCTCACTGTATGCCTAGACTTTTCTTTTTATGCATAAATGGCAAATAAAAGTCTTGAATCTTTAATTTTTTATGTGCAGAAATCCCTGTTCAGTCCAGCTTTCATTATAAGCCAGATGGTGGAGTGACCAGGGCCGTATCCATCTGTAGCTCAAGCTCTGTGGAGAAAGAGCAGCCAAAGCCTCTATGTGCCCTGTTGCCATCCTCCATGGAGGTTTGCACAGTCTATGAATCGAATCAGTCGCTCACGCCAATCAGCAGAGGTCAAGAAAGCCTCAAATCCACTACTGTCCACACTGAGCCAGACAAGGGTAAGCACACTCATCTGACATGTACTGCTACTTCTTCTTTCTTAAAACACTTCTTCGTGTAATTGTCTCATCGTGCCACATTTCTTCCCTTTGGGAGACCTTTGTGCTGCAATCCTTTTGGCTTGCCTCTTCTGCCACCCACTGGACTGTCTGTTGGCCACAACGAGAGGATGTAATGAGTGCATCTGGTCACTGTGCTCATCACTGTGCGGTTGTGAGCTGAACATCTTGCAGTCTCTCCTGGACATCACACACCACTGTGACTTCTGCGGGTGTCTGGGTGTTCGCTGCTTCGCGTGTGACTGTTCCATTTGCAACATCTGCATTCAGACTACAGAATGTCTGGACCTTGCTATGGAAATCTCTCAAATGCTTTTCCACTAATGCTGGCTGCCAGCAAATACACACATCCAGACACAAGCCAATAAGAATCATTTATTTATTAAAACCTTCTGAAAGCCAGCTTGTAAGGACAGGGCACAAATATTACATGTATGATTAACAGTCAATGTTAGTACAGAAATATATATGTCAAGGTAAGACATGGGTTATTATATAAATATTGTGGGGTGTGACTAAGTAACAGAAGAAAAAGCTGATCATAGGTTATTTAATCTTAGGGGACTGGGAACAATACAATTATCAGCACTGAGTTATTGAGTGGAGATGCTTTTAGCTCAAAAACAAAGTCAGTTAAAGGCCAAGAATGACCAGAAGAGGACACCTTAAAAATCACTGTAACCACCAATCAGTGTCACTCAATACTAGAATGCAAAGTAGAGATGCTCTTGTTCCAATATTCCCACAGCTCAATGAATAGTTCAAAATTTAAATGTATCAATAACTTGGAGGTTGTGCTGAAAAAAAGATACAGTACATCAGTGTTAAAAACAACACATATGCAAGTGCTTTATGAAACACATTCATTAACTGTACATAAAGTGGAGTTAAGCATCTGACAAATTAAATGCCTTTCTGAAGTTTGTGGCTATGCTGTAGAATAATAATTGCAACTATCACACAACAAACAGCTATACCTTACCATTACAGAGGTGAAACTAGTGGTTGCCTGAAAAGGTCGAAGCCTTCAAATTTCATACTACAATAATGCATTATTAGATACATCTTTTTTCATCATAAAAAAGCCACAATCTTGGTAGAAGATGCTAACCAATTAAAGCACTATGTCTGAATAACCCTGGTGATCACAATCTCTGACAACATAGGTATTAAAGTCAGGAAAAACTACTTACCAAACTATTATTCAGGTATCAAAAAATATGTAATGAACTACAGTACTATTATAAAAGGATAAATGTCTTGCTTTTCCAATGAGTAAGTGTATATATCCAAAAATAAAATGCTGATTTGCAATCTGTATCTACTCTGGAAGAAGTCCTGCTTTGGCTAACTAGCTACAGCAGCAAGTGATTTTCCACTGCTCAAGGTTTACAGATACATGCAACCCTAGGCATTAGCTGTCCACCATGTGTAATAGTAATAAAAACAGACAAAACTCTCAAAAAATGCATAGACTGCCATAAAATAAGGTGCAATAAAATTGCTCAAAATAAAATATTCTTATATACAATATGCAGTAAATATTTCACAATGTGCCAATTCACTTTACAAAGAAATGTTCTGTTGCTGGTGAAACAACTCAACATAGATGAGCAAGTGACCCTGATTCCAGTCAGTTGGGGGGAGGGGGGTATACTGTATTTTGGCATCTCTTAATAAGTTTGTAATGCCATTTCTGTTGTGAAAAAGAAACCTCACAGCTTTCTTCACTATAAATGAGTACATACTAAATTCAAGCAAGCCTTATATATCCCTCTTAAATCACTAAAGAAAAGCTTAAAACCTTTCAAAAACTTATTTCTTAATGCTAAATTCATGCCCCTATTTTACATTATTCCATTATTAATAAGATTGCATTTATAAACCCATACATATTCATCTGACCAGCTCCAACAGAAACAATAATTATGGATGGTAAACCAAATCAGGAACTTACTGTCTCCCGATGCAACATTTATGTTAGTTTCCATCTGAATGGTAGCTAGTTTTGCTGTTCTAAGTTCAACTGTACAGTTCTATGGACTTGTGTTATTTAAGGAAAGACTGCCTTTACTGACATTCTCGTCCATAAAGACAGTCTCTGATCACCACACAGAGCTCATCACAAGTCCTCGTCCATTTCAAGGCTGCTCCTACGACTGCTAGTTTTAGAGGCACCTGGTGACAAAGGAGAAAAGAGTGGCTCGGCCACCCTCTCTGGAGACAGGGTGCACCCCTCGTCCATAAGAATGTCTCCCAAGCCCACGTCAGGGTAGAGTGCTGAGGCCGAGGTGTCATCTAATTCGACGAAGCTTAGGGTGCCCAGGTCTAGGGGGCTGCTGATGGTGACTCCCGCAGGAGAGTCTGAGGAGGGTGGGGACAGGAAGGAGGCTGGTAGAGGCTGTCCAATGGCTCCAACACTGTGCAAGTTGTGGGTGGGGGCTCCTCCTACACTGGGAATGGGACCGGCTGCTGCTGAAGCAGGGAGGGATCAGAGCTCAGACCAGATGTGATGCTGGTGGAGAGGCCATGGACCCGTGCCTGCATTTCCAATTCCTGGAAAGAACAGCAGCACATTTACATTCAGGTGCTATGTCCTAAAATGACTGAGAATATTATTTTCCAACACCAAGGAGCTGATTATGCATTTTGCCTATGAAAAGTAATTTGAAAAAATACATTTTACCTTCATCACCTAAATTGGATTTATTAAACCTGTACAAAGCAAATCTGAATTCTGATAATCTAAAGATGTAGTAAGAGATAATCCAAGGGTAAATCCCAATTCCTTTATTTGATGGCTCCTTGCTCTTTGATCCTTGCTTGGTCCGGTTTGCTATCTTGAAGGGTGCCCCAAAGCGCTTATTCCTGCTCTAATTAGCAAGGATTGAGAAGTGAGGAGGCTGCCTGGAGGAGCCATAGCTAGGAGATAAGAGGATACATGAGACCATCCTGGACTCTTTCATAAACTAACAGAATCCCTTATCAGAAATCATTTGGTGAGTGGACACTTCAGCTGAAGGAAAGGATGTCTCATGAATGTAAATAGGTTTTTCCTAGATTCCTCTTTCCTCACATCTTATGTGGACTGGGATTTACCCCAAGTCAAAGTTGATAACTAATAAAATATTGCATGTTTCCTGGACTGAAACACTGTCCTCTTTGTGGCTGCTTGATAGCTTTACATAGCTGTTGTATTTCAAGTCTTGCATATGTCACAGTAACACTGCTCATCACCAAATACTGACCTGGATGCGTAACATTAGACTGTGGTTTGCCTGCTCCAGCTTTTTCTGCCGCATCTCGATGTCCTTTGTTCTATGCTGCTCCTTCTGTAACTTCCTGATGTAGTCTACAGAAGCTTTCAGAATGGTGCCTTTATTCCACCGCATCTCCCTGTCATTATCATGTAATCAGTAAATATTGTAGAGGCAGTGAAGAATGGAACCAACATGAGGGGTTACTAAGAGGCTAAATATTGAAATTCAAACACGAAAACTTTACATGTATTAAGTCATTCAGCAGAAGAAAAGGAACATAATGAAAAACCAGACACCACTTACGGGTCACTTGACTTGGGTATCAGAGTACCCAGCTCCTTTATACGGTCATTGATGTTGAATCTCCTCCTCCTCTCAACTGTACACGCACACACATACACACGATGAATGGCCAGACAGGGAACACGGTGACAAATAAGTTTACGTCCAACAACTATTGTTGTCACTAAACAAGCATTATTTGGTATACATGGACATCAAGATCAAATAGGTTGTCCTGGAGTTTAAACAGGCAAATCATGTATTTTGGATGTCATGATTCTGAGTCTGCACTGTGCTGCATGCCATATATGATCCAGCTATATTCCTTATGTTACTGCATTCACATTCAGCACTGCAGGACAAGTGGTCAGTGGTTGAAATAAAGCTCAGCTTACTGAGGTTATGGTTGTCTTTCTTCTGCCTTTCTTTCAATAGTGCTTTGGTATCTGCATCTAAAAGACAAATTCATAGTGTTCAATACTATGAAATAAACTAAAACAAATCTCCTGAACATTAAAAAAAGACATGTTTATAACAGCAAGTTACTGTACCAGTAATTTCCCTTTTAATTTTTGGAAGATCAGCAGGGCAGGAGTTGCTGACAGTGAGAGTAGGTGCTGTCATTCCAGGGCTATGGTATACATCCAACAGAGTTCCTGGGAGCTACAGGAAAATATTTCATGTTTAAAGAGATCTCAGAAATTATCACTGATTGCCTAAACCCTGATGCAAATATGTAAAAAGTCGGTCTTCACCATTTCTGCTTAAAGGTTCAGAGCAACCAGTTTGTTGAGTTCAACATAGAATCAAAGCTGGTTTCTGTGTTACGATGTAGCACATGTTGCACAGTGCAACTGTGCCACACAGACAGGCAAGGCAGCCATTACTCAAGGATCAATACTGGGCCAATCCATGCAGACTGTGTAACAGGTCAGTACAGAGCAAGTCAAATACCGATCCTTTTTTGCTGTTACTTTCCTGATGTGGGCCTTATCCTGGTCTCTCTCCTCCCCTCTGGAGCACCCCTCTCCTCATATATAGCAGCAATGGGAGTGATGAGCTGCTCACAGACATACAGCGTGGAGCAGGAGAGAGACCAGGTTGAATTTTACTTGAGTGGCTCGCTAACCAAACGTGCAAATAAATCTGCCAGCAACTGAGACAGTATGAGCAATGTATCAAACAGCTGCTGATGCCTTCGCCTGTGGTCAATTCACTGAAGTCTGTTAGGGTGATTTTTTACACGCCTCACAAGTCCCTCACCAAAGAATAATTTTCAAGTGAATTTAAGCATCATGTCATTAATATCAATATTAAAGGACTAGGATCCTTCCTAAAAAAGCCTTGAGATATTTCTAACCATTACATTTTAAAAGTTTAATTAACATTTGCTCTTAAGGAATAAAATCTAAAATCCAACTCTACACTGCATTCTTGTATATAAGCTGGACTACATTATCTGGTCCTATTTATAGTAAAAAGAAAATAAAAATCAAAATCAAAAAGCATTTACCTCACTCTTTTTCTTTTCCTCCAACATCATCACCATAATCCCCATTTCACAGTTAAATTTTTGCCAAGCCCTCTCTTATCTGACAAATGAGTTGTTACCCTGGCAGTCTCAAAATGTATGTTTTTATGAACACAATCCACTTTGTCTGGATTCTCCCTGCCCTGGATCCTCCAACAGCTTTACCACGCCCAGGCAGCACTTCAGTGACGAATAGTAACTGAGTGCCAGAAGTGTATATTTACTCCCACAGCTTTAGAATTTCATACATTAAAGAGGAAGACCATTCACAGAAATTGACTGAAATCCGCAGTGTTATCCCGTCATAGCAGAATTAAAGAGGAACCTGTAAACCCAAGAGGAAATTCTATAAAGGAAGTAGTCATAGTAAAATAAATATATTGTTATCCATACCGTGCTAGGCAACTGAAGACCTGAGTCAATCAATGTAATGATGTCGTCATTAAAACTTGATTCAAGACTGATGATGTCGTCGATCACGTCGTCAATCTAGACAAAGCAGATGAGAGAAAGCACCGGTGCTACCGTGTAAGTGGTGCGAAATTAATCAACATATATGTGTATACTGTAGTGTGCTTGGTAGTCTATAACAGTCTGTAAAGAGTGAATGCCACACTAAACATTTCAACCAGTGTAATATAGGTTAAACAATGCATGGGGCCTAGTTTCAAAGGGGGAGATGTGTGCAGAAGACGTGGTGCTACAGTTAAACATTGGGTGCAGTATTTAACATCATATTGTGACAACAGGCCAACAAGGGTACAATGACCAAAGGCATGCATCATCACAGTGGGACCTTCAGGCATGTCATCACAGGACAAACAAAAAGTAATTAGGTAAGAAGTGAGCAGAAGGCTAGATATTTAACTTCTCCAAAAAGAAGTGTAATTTTGCAGGAAGGCAACCTTTTACAAGGGTGTGTGATCTACTTTACCAGAAAACCAACCCCACACAAGAGGTTAAACCACTAGTATCAAAGCATCCCATACCTCCTCCTTGTTGGAGCCGATGTTAAGCATAGCCATAGGACTGTTAGGGGCACTGCTGGCAGAGGGGGCGACTTCAGGGGCAGAACTGGACTGTGGCACCGGGGACACACCCATAGTCTGACTAACCGCCTTGTTGCCCAAAGTGGTGGAGAGGTACTGCTTCACCTGTTGCCTCTGTGCCTGCTGGATGTGGTACTTGGTAGGGTTCTCCAAGTGGGTCTGCACCTAATCATTTAAAGTTGTTAATGGCCTGTGTTCTAACATACACCCTCTGAATAAAAAATACACATGGCGAACGTGCAAAGAGAGATCTCTCTTACTTTCAGCACCTCCACAGGCACCTGTGCTGGAGGTGGGCGGGCAGCATTTGGGGGCAGTGTGACAGAGATGGCTGGAGTGGAATCAGAGCCCCGGAGCTGAGAGGCAGAGGCCTGCTGCTGGGCCTCACGCCTCTCCTGCTCCTGGGCTTGTTCCCGCATCAGCTGCTGCCGCTGCAATGTTCGTAACGGCATGGCTGAGGAGCAAGATCCAGATCTAAGATGGAGCTGGAAAACAAAAACAGAACAAAGAAGCATTAGAGACAGGTAATTCCATCAATATTTTACAGTGTATCTAGACTCTAGTCTATCCTTAATAGCATCCATTATAAGATTCTAGTGTGACTTACGTGTTGGAAACCTATCCAGATGGTACTTCCACAACTGGGTTCTATAACAGCTTTCCAAAGGAAATGCTGGACTTGATTTAAAATAATTTAAGAAAATAAGTTCTATAGCCATCAAAAGCTTAGGATGCACAGTCTTGGCAAAAAATATTGGCACTGCTGCATTTCTGTCAGATAACGCACCACTTCACCCAGAAAAAAAAAAAAAATCTATATCTGATGATTTTGAAAAGGTGTCAATAATTCTGTCCTGTCCATTTTTGGAGTTCTGTGTGGAATGGATCAGCTTTGGCTTTTTCCTCGGCTTTTTGTGTTATTCCAATGAAAACAAAAGAAATAAACAAGAGGATATGAAAGAATTTGTGATTGCAACAATTTTCTGGGAGTGAAATTATCTGACAGACATGCAGGGGTGCAAATTTGAAATGTGCAAATTGTTATGAATTTTGAGGTCCAAATATGACATTTAACCTCTAGAGTCCCTGCGTCCTCATATGAGGACCGCACAGCTTGGGTTTCCAAAGCTCAGGACTCTAGAGGTTAAAAGAGCTGTCTGGCTATAAATTGAGAGATTTAGTCATTTCCATTCATCATCATCCTTTATTAGCAGACTCAAGGTCCATACAAAAAAAGAAATAAAAGAAAAAAAAAAGGATATAAAAGAAAAAAAAAATTATAAAAGACATTTATACCAATGTTTCCACAGAGAGGATTGGTAACGTACTACACTAAAACCAGGATTAGCCAGCATCATTATAAGACTGTTCTCAGAGTTATTCACACGACAGATAAATCTGTACATCAGGTTTCTCATTAATGCCTGAAAGGTACTAACATGGACCTGTGAACACAACAGACTGGCGCTGGTGGACCTAGGCTTCTTAAGCAGAATCCTCAAGGCATCATTATAAGCAACTTTAAGTTTCTGTAAAGTAGCTACCTTATATTTACACCACAATGGGGCAGTATACAACGGTGTACAGTATGTTCTGAACAGATGAACTTTAACATTAGCAGAACACATGTGAAATTTCCTAACCAACATATTAGCTTGAGCATACAAAATGCGACACTGCCGATATATATCCTCATCATCAGAAAGCTGATCTGTAATGAAATGTCCTAAATATTTAGTTTTTCTACAGACACTCAACCTTTGTCCAGACAAACAAAAGTCTGGGAAACAAAGTTCTTTGTCCCCTTTAGTCCGACAGATCAGTACAACACTCTTTTCTGCATTATATTTCACATCATACTTCAATCCATAGTCCGAGCACACATTCAGCAGTTGCTGAAAACCAGCACTGCTGGGCGACAGTATGGCCAAATCATCAGCATACATAAAATGATTTACAACATTGTATGCCTACATGCAAATAACGACAAGTAAAGACAATGACACCGTTTGACTTCGAGGGAGAATATGGGCTGATGTAAACAACACCAAGCTTGATGTTTTGTGCTGGAGTATGAACATGTGTGCCTTGTATTGGCTGAGACACAATACCAGCCTAACTTTTCCCCTACAAAGCTTGCTGTTTCATCATCTGGTCCACCAAGAGTTTGGGTCGCAATTCCTGTTTTTGCTCAGACATCATTCCGTCTGTAATTTGACAACGTTGTGTCACATCTTAAAAATCAGACCCCATCAATTTTAGATATTTTGTTTTCAGTAGCGCAGAATTAGCAAAGCTTTTCGTTTCAGACACATTTTAGTGTTATCTAGCCCCCTTACATGATACCAATAAAACTGGTAACAGTTAAAAGCTGTCTTGCTTCTGGATGTGTATTCGACAATTTTAAGATACCTTGTGTTAAACTACTGCTGTAAATTCCATAGACTTCATGAACCAAACTGCCAGTAAATAAAAACCGTCAAAGCAGGAGAACTACTAAAAGTACTCAAAAACAATAAGTGAGATCCGATTTGGCCTCTTTCATTCGAGGCTTTTTAAATTCAACCACTTTTTAAATGTCCAGCTATTTGGGAACACTCGTGTTCTGATACACCCGGTAGTGTTAGGCCTTTGTGCACTACCTATAATCGTCCTCTTCATTCATAATAGTGTGCAGACTTAAATTAGCACTTTTAACGCTTCTTATTATTAGCCGTGACTTCTCTGTGACGTTTACTGGATTAATGAACCATGTACTAACGTAAGTATTCCAGAAATAATTTCACACTTTAAAACGCGCCGTGTAACGTTATAGGACAATACAGTTGGCTGTCAATGTCGCTTTTTCCTGAATGAGTGTCACTGTGTCCACGAAAGACTAGCGACTTCCTTCGTTACGTTGATTTTGGTGGTTTACCGTTTAAACAGCAGGACATACCAGCTGGTTAGCTATCTTTTAGCCATTTCCAGACTATTTTTGGCTAGCTCTAATCTAGCGTCAAAGTTCACCTGACAGCTATGGTTCGCTAACGGGCCCACATCAACGTAACGTTACTGAGCATTGACACATAAGTAAAGCTAACATTTACACTCCAGACGATTAACAGTGGCTTTGTTGTGACTCGCCAGTAGCCTAAGGGAGGGGGTTTAGCTATTTCTGTGGAAGGTAGTGGTGTTTCAAGTGTACATAACTCCACAGCCACGACAAAATAAAAATAGGAAGTTGTATCTTAGCTGACTAGCTACTTAACGGTGGTTCCCCAACAAGCCAAAGCCAAATTGAACAATTTATTCAGGTTAAAGATACATACATACTGTGGTAATAGATATACTTGACGTTGTCATAAATCCCCAGTGTCCTCCGTTTCCTTGGCCATTTCTTTAAGTTGGTGAATACAAGATCCTGTTTAGCCGCTAGCCACGACTGTCTGAACAGCGCTGTTTACTTCAGGCCGACGGACTGATGTCATCACACGTATATTACCCGGAACTTGTTGACAGCTCCAAGATTACCGTGTTCACAGCGGCCTTCATTGTGCATGTTTACCTGCGGCACTGTAGCATATCACGGCAAATCCCACTGCAACTGGGGTGAATGCAATATCACCCAAGTTTATATTTGATGTCTAGTTAAAGTGCAATTTACTTAGGACACCTAGATGAAGATTCAAGGGCCTTGTAAGTGGAAAACTATGTACACCCCCCCCCCTCCCCCAACAAATCTGCAAATTAAAATAAAAGCAAAATGTAAGGAACATTGGCTGTTCAATATAATCTGCATCTGTTAATTGCTTTATAAGCAAAGGAATCAGGGCTATCCCAGAGGGTACAGCTCTGTAGGTGCTTACATGAAATACCAATAAAGACAAAACACCTACAGTATAATTTTTTTAAAGCTTTTATTTCAACCTTATTTTAATTAGCCATCTGAAAATGAGAAGTCCATTGCAGATGTCAAGGTGTCTGAGAGTTTGGTGGCAATTTTGTCTGCAGAGAAGAAAAAAAAAAGGATCACATTTATTTATGTGACTAGATACTGTGTAACACACTTTCATACACCAATAGAGGGCTCTGCCACTTAGCAACACTGATTATCCTCGCTATGAACTAGTGAAGCCACAAGTCTTGGGTGGTCTCTGACATTATTTTATTATTATAATGAATAAAGAAATCACAGCCTGAACACACTGACAAAGTTATGTACAGCATTACAGAGTGTGACCAATATTTATACAAACCAGCTCTTTTGAGTTGCTTTTTCCTCTTCTTGTTGGCAGCCAGGAGAGCCTGGCCCTGCTGTAGAGGATCTACACTGTAGATGTCCTTCAAATCTGGAGCCCTGGATGCAGCATTATTTGCAGGTAAGTCTGTCTTGGATTGCTGAGATTTTATCTCCACTGTCATTGGGCCAAACTGTTTGAAGCAGGGAAGATATCAGAAATGAAAACAGAGCTGGATGAACTGCATTTTACAGGAGTTAAAGGCACAGCATACTGCGAATCAGTAAACACTGATGCTCTAAGGACAGTGCTATTTCTCACCTCTGGGTCCTGGTCATCCTCCATAGATTCAGTTTCATGTTTGCATTCTGGCTCTTCCACTGATGTTCTTTCCATTTCCAGGTCAGAGGGTGGTTCTCCCTGACCACCCGGTGTCATTCCAGTAGTTTCCATGCAGAATCCCTTTTGGATGTCTGGACAAGACGACTCTAAGACACAGCAGAAATCATATCCCATACTGGAGCAACCACTGTTTCTTTGGGATGTTCAACACGATCCCTGAAGGGATCAAAGTACTGCTAGGAACCCTTAAATGTAGAGGCATCTTAACATTGTAGATTTCAGATTTACTGTGAGACCTCGAGATACCAGACAAACACTTCACTAGAACTACTTTCCAACAACAAAATTACATTCCTAATGAAAACTGCTGAAGGTGATGGCTGTGGATCATCTTGAGTAACTGGGACATTGTATCTGTGTACAACTGGAGGTAGGAGATATTTTTTTTAATCATTGTCTTTTTTGTGCGTGATTTGGATGAACTGACCCTTTCCCTTACCTGCAAGAACCTCCTGATTTCCTTTTTCCAGCTCATCCCAGTCAAAAGCTTTACCCATCTCTGTAACAATCTCAGCACTGATGTGTGTGGGAAGAGTGTGTGTCTCTGGAGGGTGCGTGAAGTAGCTGATCCTTCCCCTAAATAACATAACATGTTGAAATTAAAACATACTCCTAAGAGCAATGGTAAAATGCTAAATTTTACGCACCCTGTCCAGTCCATTAATACACTCTTTGCTGCTTTATCAGTGTCAGGGAGTCCCCCCTTCCTTAGTTTGCCTTGCCGTCGGGCAAGCAATGCCAAGAACTCCAAAGCTGTGTGAAAATCCGCAACGCCGTAGTGCTCCATGATCTGTAATCCAACAGAACTGCTGTAATGGTGGTGTGCAAATGGCACAATGTAAAAATCAGCTGGTAAGATAACATGACATACCTGTGCCTTGTTGCAGCGTCGAAGGATGGCTTCAACAGGTGGAAGGGGATCTACAAGCTGTTCAATTTTGACACAGTTACGAAGAATCATTGCTGCATCAGTTGTCGAAGTTGCCATGACGATTCCAGGGCAGTCCAAAAGCTTTATGTGCTTGTCCAAATGCACTTCTTGAAGGCACCTAAAATCAGACAGACCCATGAGAAAAGCAGAAAGAAACAGGAAGCAGGTCTTCACGGTAGTACAGGAACTTACTTGGTCACACCAGGAGTGGCTCCAATGTTACATGCTCGTGCCCGTTTCAGACTGTTGATCAAACTACTCTTTCCCACATTAGGGAAACCTACAAAACAGGACAGGTAAAAAAGTATTTCACTATGGGCAATCTCACATTATCAACAAGCAAAACCTGGTGCTTTACTGGATTTGGTGCTTACCCACAACACCTACAGTGATGGCCGTCTTTATGTCTAGGTTGCGGCAGTAGTTGCCAAGTAGCTTCATTAAGCAGTCTGCGCCAACACAAGCGCTGCTACTTAGGAGCTCTGTGGTAGCTTGTGTCACTGGAACATTACTGCGTTTCTGTCCAAGTGACACATAAAAGTGCCTTAGTGTTTATGTGAGATAATGTTATTCTATAGCTTTAAGCATGTGAGATGAAATTGAGCATTTTTAGATTATGGAAAAAAAAATATAACCACATACTAGATTCTTGGTTTGCTGCTGTGTGGATGCCTTGAAAGCTACAATAGGAAACTCATTACGAAGATACTTAATCCACTTTTCTACAATTTCCTTTGACACCAGATCTATCATTAAAAAAAAAGAACATTTCCGTCAAGCATCATATAATTAACACAAAATATAAAACACTTCTAACTACTTTGTCCAAAAGATATACAGGACTACAGACAGTTAACATTATTTAGTTGAGTTACCAATTTTATTAAGGACTAAAACTATCTTCTTGTTTGTTCCACTTTGAATAACTGCTTGTTCCACCTGAGGACATCTGCAGCCAAGAGGGTCGCGTGCATCCAAAACCTCCAAAATCACATCTGAGGCCTCCACTACCTTTAAAAACAACAACCACACGTTAAAAAGTACTCTGTCCAGTTCCACTACAGTTGACCCTCCTTCATTCGACCAGGAAAGGTGGCTCTTTGCTGGCTTTTTTTTAGCCCAGTGTAAATAGGCAAAGGTGCACTATAGAAGGGCCAGCTTGACACCAGTATAGCGGAATCTCTGTAAAAGAGGCTTGTGCCTTTCAACTGTTTTTAAAGGCTTAAAAGAGAAAATTGTTTAAATAAAGACTGATAATTTATATATATGCCTCTAAAATGTGAATATTTATCAGACCTGGGTCAGTTTGTGACATGTATGGAGCAGTTATGTACCTTTTTGAATTCTCTGTAATATGCCTTTCTTGAATTCTCGTTTTCAAAATTAACATGCTTCTCCAAGCTTTGCATCTCTGTCTCCTATGAACACAAAGCAGAAAACAGAGATCACAATGATATGTGCATAGCATGAGTGATTCTAACTAGAGTCAATAAGCCAACATTTACCCTCTGCTCATAATCTCTCTGGCGCTGTAGGATATCATTCTGAAAGCTCTGCAAATTCCTTCTCTTCATCAGCTCTCGTTCTCTAGAGATTCTCTGCTTTTCTTGGAGGTCTTTTAGCTAAACAGGAAAGATAGGCAGACTGTTTAACCTCAAAAAAATATCAACATAACCTCAACTCTGATACACCCTCTGATGTTTACAGACTTACCCTTTGCTTCCTGGTTTCCTCTGGTGTTCTGTGGTCTTTGACATGCTGCACAGGTGACTGCTCTGTAGTCTTTGTCCGCCCTGAAGAACCACCCTTTCGTCCATCTTTAGCCTGGAAACAAACATCTCAAATATGTGGTAAAATGCATCCTGGTTCAACCTACAAATCTAAACATATTTAATATCACATATCTGAGGCTTTGTAAATTAAATAGGAAGCTGAGCAAACAACATAACCTACAGTATATACAGCAACTCTTAATAATTTAATCAGGAAAATGAGCATATAGTAGTGTCACAGATCTGTACCAGACAGCGTTTTTAACCACAAGGTCAAATGTGACTCTTCATAGGAATTTTTCCACAGGTTTCTCAGCTAGCTGACAGTTGAGGCCAGACGTTTACATACAGTTTGGCTAAATGCAGTTTTTCACAATTCCAAAAATTTCATGTTAATATATTTTCCCTGTTACTTCAGTGAGACCAACTACTTTATTTTGATGCAAAATTTCTAAATAGTAAACAGAATTATTAATATCAGCTTTTAAAAATGTTCTATCACATTCTCATGGTCAAAATTAACATTCACCATGTTAGTATTTGGTGGCATGGCCTTTAAATTGTCTAACTTGAATCAAATGCTTGCGGTAGCTTCACAGGAATTCTGGCCCATACATCCTGGTAGACCTCATGCAGCTGAGATAGCTCTGCGGGCCCCCTTGAACAAACCCACTTTTTCAGTGAAACCCGCAAATTTTCTTTTGTGATGGCCACGATCAGACGTTTACTTTGTTGGTCTTAGGTCATTTTATCATCATTTTGGAGGTGTACTTTGGATCACTGTCCCAGTAAAAGATCCAGATCCAAGCTTTAGCTTCCCAGCTGTCGTCTTCAGATGAAGTTTCAAAATATTCACAAAAGCAAATCTGAAGCTTCTAAAGTTATGGCATCAATTTCCCAAAGGCCACAGGCTGTTTCAAGAAACAGTGAACTTGGCGTATATAAACTTTTGACCCACTGGAATTCTGATATTGTGAATTAAAAGTGAAATAAATCTGTCTGTGATCAAATATGGGAAAAATACTTTTTCTGTGGACAAAGTGACTGACCTAACTAACCGGCTTGCCAAAAGACCTATGGTAACATGAATTCTCAGGAGTGGTAATTTGTTTGTTTTAATGTGTTTTGCTTTGAGTGTATGTAAACATCTGACATCCAAGCACTCAGGGAGCATCTAACTGTCAGTATGTCCGACAGTATTTGATCTATAAACACTGCAGTTGTTTACAGAGACATGCTCAGTCACACTGACATGGCTGAATGCTAAATGTACACATGCATGGTGATGACATGAACTGGGACAGTATCCTTTGTAGGTACTTGACAGTCTGGGCAATGTACCAGTCAGTAGCACTGATATCCACATGGAACCTGAAAATACATCTGTGCATTTCTGTTAAAATTGCCTTAAGGGATTTGTGCTGCCCTGACACCATTTCATAATATGCTTCAGTCCTACTAGTCAAATGACTACCATCAGCCAAGTGGAGTCTGTGGTTCCACTTAGTTACAACAGAAAGAGAACGCGTAACTGTCCTTGTGAATGCTGCTTTATCTCTTTTCCATTTGATTTTCAAAACATATACAGCCATGCTAAAAACAAACGACACCCTCCTTCAATTCTGTTTTTATTTATCAGGGCCTAAAACAATTGTGTGGACCTCACCAACTCTTGTAAGAAAAAAAAATAACCTCAAGTAACAAAGAAAAGAAAAAGAAAAAAACAGATGTCAATATGTAGTCAACTGTTTCCCAAAAGTAAACAAACATTCAGAAACCAGGTGGGGAAACAAAAGTACACCCTGTAATTCAGTGACATGTAGAACCACCCTTAGCAACAATAACTTATGAGTATATATTTTCTCTGGGAGTTTATCGTTTTGGAGAAATGTTGGCCCACTCTTCGCTACAGCATTGCTCCAGTTCATTGATGCTTGAGGGCATTCGTTTATGTACAGCTCTTTGAAGAACCTGCCACAGTATCTCAGTGGGTTGAGGTCTGGACTTCAATTCTCCACCCTTGTTTTATTTACAGAAGTAGGTGAGGTCCACACTGTTTTTTTAAGCCCCTGATTAATTACAAACATAGAATTGAAGGAGGGTGTACTTTCATGTTACCATGACTGTATTTGTCTTTTGAGTCTTTTATAAAGAGCCCATGGCATGCTTTTCCTTGTTTTCTGACTTATCTACAATGTTACAACAGTGAATTATCATCTTAGATGTGACCTAAAGTTCAAAACATGAGGTGAACATATGTTCCAGTACTTCTATGCAGAGGAAACTCAGTTTATACTCGTCTTACAAACTCTTACTTGTGATATTTTCTTTCTACCAACAGAATCTCCTTGAATGGGCATAGCAGTGAATAATAAGCTGATCAACACTGGATTCCCCCGGAGTACAGTACCATGATGTTATTGTCTGTGCTACGCTACCTGTTGGAATCAATTTCACTACTTTGGGACTGTATGTGGTCATGTGGGGGAAGACACAGCAACCACCAATTGGATTTACCAACCTCAGAGAAACTTGAAAGGGGGTGACGTTTGCATTACTTGGTGGGATTTAACGGTAAGTTATTAAAAAAAAAAAGTTGCATGTCTGTTAATGCCTTGTTTCTGTAACCTTAAAGAGAACTGTTGTAAGGCTGGAGAAGTCACTGTGTCTGCATTATACCAGTTAAAATATGGGGTTTCTCAATGACCCGATGTGTTTTGAGTGTTACACATCTCTTTTCATCAGTATATATACCATTGTTTACCTATCTATGAAGGAGAAATTCAGATTAATTCACACTGTTGTGGTTCGTCATGCTGTCCACTTTCATATTCTGGCTCAAACATGTTAGGCAGAATCTGAGATATTATCACTGTCAAAAACGTAGCTTATTTGTTAGTTTTGTTTATGTGTTGTCCTGGCTTCCTGACCGGTCTTGTGTCAAAAAGTGTTCCCTGATCGAGATGTGTTTCCTCTGTTCAAAACTCAGTTTCATGTAGCGCCCCCGTCGGTGGTTGTGGTTAGGATAATGTTAGGATACAGGTTAGGGGAAACAGATTCCAAAACAACACCGGCAACAGGAGTTGAGCATATTCATGAACTATCCTCTTGTTCTTAGGAGGATCTCGGGTTTTATTGTTCTTAAATAATGATAGACTATTTGGAGTTATGATGGGTGCAAAGTTGATCTAGAGGTATCCAAGATTAAACATTAAATGGTTGGAAATCAGCATGTCATGGGCTCTTTAACTTGTGGCACTGTTGGTTCACTGGATTGCTATCATTTCTCGCGGTATCGTGGTTTTGATACCCATATGACCTCCTTCTGTCCATATATACATATGGCATATATACATCCAAACGCGACTGACTGGTTATTACTCAACATTACTATAAACAAACAAACGAACACTGATCAACTCGATGAGTAACATAGGTTTGAAAATATACCAATATAAGGCAAGAAATGCTAAGGATAACGTCTTGCTTGTCTTCTGTTTTAACAAGTACAACGTTAAAACTATCAGATCCAAAACATTAGCTGTAGAATTAGCACAGATATTATTAGAATTTACCTTAAATTTTCCGAGGAAGCCGAGGCGTTTGGCTCGTTTTTGTTCTGTAAAATGCAAAAAGCACAGAGTCCACTTAAAGGTACACAAAATTATTTAGTGACAAATTATACCGAACTAATAAAATACATACTAGCTTTAGACATAATTTCGTCCTTTCCGACTTCAAGTCGTGAATATTTCACGTGTGCGTCAAGAAAAGGAGCATGCGCACTCGATTATTCAATCTTCCTCCGGTTTTTGTGTTCTGCTGGCTGGCGACCCAACGAATAAAGTGTATACCGCCACCTACTGCAGCGGAGGAAGTAGAGTCTGATTAAAAAACCCCAGCTGCCCTATAGGCCTTATGGCCCTATCCAGTTTACTAATTCTGTCCCCATAATGTTACCAATAGCATCGGGCTAAATGTATCTGAAAATTAGGCTACTGCCACTATGTTGTTGGTTTAAAAAAAAAAAACTCACACTAGAGTTGGGGAATCACCCAATTCATTATAATTTGTTACCTTGAAACCTTGAATAGCCTACTTGGAATTTTGGGCAATATCCATCCAATTGTTATACAAGTATTTGCCATGATTCATTGCATTTCCTGACAAAAGCCCTTATTTTGGAAAACTTTCATTTTTTAACTGGCCTCTAGCTGTTTGTGGTTCCCCTTTTACTGTTCTCATTTAGGCTACACTCACCTGTCTCCATTAGCATAATCAGTGTCTCTGTATTTAAGTCAATGGCAGCTTTCTTTCATGGTCAGATTGTTGGGAAAGTACCCAGTGTTATTACTCACCTAAAACACTAAGTGAAAAGAGTTTTACAATTCTTAATTTAATAGTCTAATGGGTTTGATATATTGTAACAGTCCTGACAGCAGATTGACAAACAATGTGCAAATGCCTTCACAGATCAGGGACAAACGCCCCCCCCCCCAACTCACACATATTGTGCCATCCCCACTGCACCCCCCACTTGAAACATGTAAGACAATCCCGCCCCTGCCCCCTCATACTAAATATACTGGAGCTACTGTGCAGAATAACCAGCAAGAATTTAAAATAAGCTAACATGTTAACCATTAAGTGTTAAACCTAAGTCACAAAACACATTTTTTATCCTTGAGCCTGAGGAAAAACTACTCCGGCCAGGGTTGGGCTGTAGTACCAGTTACCATGGCAATACAATTAAGTCTGAATATGTGTTATCATTATGAGGCAAACCGACCTGTACTCTATGAATGCCATTTTGTGTTATTATTCAAACAAAACTGGCAATCACACAAAAAACACCCAATTTAATCCTTTTTCAGTATACTTTGATTTTATTTCCTTGATGCACTTTTTTCTTTTTTCTTTTTTTTTTTGTATTTGCAAGAAAACTATAAATTTGCTAAAAAATGAAGACAAAAGAAACAATAAATATTTTCTGTACAAGCCATAATGGTTCTGAAATTTTCTTCCAGAAACACAGAATATGAAGTTTTATGCAGGAGCCACAGAGGAGACCTCTGTCTTTGATGTGGATACTTCAGAGCCCTCATCCACTTGTTTGCCAAAAAGCTGCATGATACATGTGCGGAACTGGCAGGGAGAGATTAAAACAGTGTGTTAAAAATGTAACACATTTGATTTAGACATAGAAAACTGGTCAGTGTGGCATTGTGACTGTTGTGCCCACCTGCCGGTTCATGAAGACGTAGATGATTGGGTTGTAAATGGTGGCACTCTTGGCAAAGTATGCAGGTAAGGCAGCAGCCAGAGGATGGAAGGCATATCCAGGGTAAGCCGTACCAAAGCAGACAAAAAAGGTGTAAGGTCCCCAGCAGAAACAATATGCCAGGATCATGACAACCACCATTCTGGATACTTCTCTCTCAGCTTTCTGGGTTGACTCTGATTCCTTCTGCTGCATGGCAACCTGTGATGGACAAGTCAATGCAGCGTTAAAGTCTGCCAAGTTCTACTTTATAGATGATATAAAGCTGCAGATAAGATAACTTACAGATCGGATAGCCATCCAAACAGCAAGGTAGCACAAGATGATGACAGACAATGGAAAGACACAACATGCAATCATAAGACAAATCAAGTAGGACTGACATCCAGGATCTTCATTTCCACTGAATACATCAGGGCCACAGGAAGTCTTCAGTCCATGAGGCCAGTATCTGGTGCAAGAAAATGTTCAATGTTTAGTTTCAGTACTCAGTGTTTAGCTTGTCTTCACTGATAAATTCAACACTTGGCATTGTCTCTATTTATAGTGTGCATTAGTTCAATTAAAAAAACATCTGCGTACCTGCTCCAGCCGAAAATGGGAGGAGCGCACCATAATGCTGACCAGACCCAAGAGAACACAATTCCCACTGTGGCCAATTTAGCATCAAACTTCATGTTTCCAAAAGGTTTGCACACAACTATCCATCTCTCCCAGGAGATGACAGCCAGAGACCAGAGCCCTGTAATGCCTGTTATGACATTAAGACAGGTCAAGTCAGTTTTATTTACATAATCCAGTATGACAAATTTGCCTCTGGGGGCTTTACAGTTTGCACAGCATAAAACACCTTCAGCCTATAGACCCTTGAAGGAAACTCAGCAATGGCAAGGGAAAACATGTAGTGTACAAACAAGAACATTGTCTTTACAAAAAAATTCTGAACACTTTCAAAAAAGGGAAAAAACACTTACCACAAAGTGCGACTACATAACCTTCAAAGACGCACATTGGGTGTCCTAGAATGAAGTAGCCAAACATCTGGTTGCATATACTGATGCTGCTGGCAAGAAGTGTCTCTCCAAGATCAGCAATTGCAAGATTGACCAAGATCCAATTTAGTGGGTGACGCAGTTTCTTAAACTTTGCTGTGGCCACCAAGACGAGACCATTGGTGAAGACTGACGCGAAGAACACAAAAAGCATCCAGAGTGTTGCAAGGTTGTAAATCCATCGAGGAGCAATGTGATAATTTGGACCCTCAAAGGGACCTGATAAAAGAAAGTAAAGTCTTATAATCTCACAGTTGAGCAGCTCATTGTAGAAGGTCTTTGAAGCAACACCAAACTTCTTTTAGACAAACTCTTTTTTGTGGGTTTTTACAGAATACTATATACACAGTACATTTTATCGGTGAGCTCTCTCAATTTAAAATGCTCAACTGTTGTTTTGCGCTGGCTAGGTACTTATATTCTTTGTGAAACAGCATTGCTTTAGTTTTATTAACTCATATAATCAAAACTATAGGTTGAAACATCTGAAATCTCTGCAAGGTTGGATGTTGATTCTCAGCAGGACCATAAATATTAGTAATCCTCTTGCATAACTTGGAGTCATTTGATTTAGTATTTATGTAGTACAGTAGCATAATAAAGTTTGAAAAGTCCATTTGAAAAAGTACACAGCAATTGCCTAAAGGTACCAATGGCTAAAGGCAAAAGTACAAAGTATATTGTGAACAGTGAGAATCTACAGTCTGCCACAGCTATCCAAAGATTACTAGGCCTCAGCAGTTGTATGCTCTTACCGGTACTTTGTGCAGTCAAGTAATTGTTGCTTTTAATGTTTTAATGTGTTGTATAATTATGTTCTATCTATATATGCATTTTAATGCCTTATCTATTTGTATGCATTGTGTTCCATCCATCCATCCATTTTCCTTCGTTTATCCGGAACCGGGTCGCGGGGGCAGCAGTCTGAGCAAAGATGCCCAGACTTCCCTCTCTCCAGAGGGAAGTCTCTATTTGTGTGCATTGTGTTAGGTACTTAAATTGCCTTTGTGTACGAAAATGTGCTTTATAAATAAATTTGCCTTGTCTAAAGATGTCCACCTGTTGCTCTGACTGATTCTGCTATACTTATTGATGCTCCTGGTTGTAGGTTCTTACTTTTTGTACCAATCTCTCATATAATTAACCTGTACCATCAAATTACCCAGAAATTAAAACAATACTACGGTACCTCTGGTATTGTTGGCATTTGTGTAAACGAAGACAGCTCCACTTGTTGTCTCATCGTAATATCGCCTGGCAGCAAATGACTGTTTTCCCCACTCTTCTGCCATTCCGATCTTTGATGGAGGTCCTCAGCAGTTTGCTGTCACTTGCAACCTCCTTGGGTGACTGGTGCTACACATCTGACTTTAGCTTTTATACTTGTGTGTCCGTGAGCCCTTATAGGATTAGATGGCTGGACACCTGGCAGTGAAACAGCTAAGCAATAAACTTATTTTGTACTGTAATTAATCACTAATTTGCCACCCACTAATTAGGTTAAGATACAAACCAGATAAGATTAATCCTGTTTGGGAGCAAATTTCCATCCGCTCACTTAAAAGCTACAGCACTGGTGTGGTAACCCTGTCTCCTAGAAACAGCATTTGTATAAAATGCAATGGCAAATATGTTTTTCAGCAAACATAATCACAGCCAAATTACTGGATGTTCTATAATGGGGATATTTTATTTAACATATTTTGCAAGTTGTGTGAACTTTCTTCTCTTAATGAAATTTTAAAATCTAGAACAAATATTTTCTAAGTGTTCCCATTTGTATGTATACGTTTGGAACCTTGATATAATACAATATATCTTTTGCATTATATCATATTAATAAAGGAAATAAAAACAAACCTCACACTTCAAAACTGTGCACAGGACTTGCCAGGTATACTGATGAACTTTGGTAAACCCAGAAAGTTAATCAAGTCTTAAATCTTAATAGGACAAGTGTAAGTTCACTTATAGGATAGTCTCAAATGGTGACGTGAGAAGCGGACACTCTTAATTCCCCACTTAGTGGACTCACAGCAGGTAATGCCACAGTGGAGAATGTTGCACCTAAAGGGTGAAACTTTTGTCACCAACTTGAGCCAGACATGTCTGTCAAGGCATTAACCAGACAGCAAAAGCATTAGCTAAACAGTGAAGGCATTGACCTGATACCACAATAGTAAACACCAGACACAGCTCTATAATATAAGATGCACAAGTGTAGTGGCATATGTGTGCGTGTTAGTATGTGTTTCAGGAGGCTAACAAAGAAACTGATGAATAATAAAACAAAAAACAAAATCACAAACTCCAAGATGGCCATCGGTTGAACAATAGCAAAACGCTTGACAGGCCTCAATTCCTCTTGTGGGAGGTGTCACTACTTGTTCTTTGCTGCCTACCTGATTTTTTGTATGTGCATGAGCAAAGAAGCAATTTACTGCAGTTTCATATCATCTCAGCCAGTCATCTTGCCCTAACCTCAGTTAGTCATGAAGTAGTCACATTTTGAGCATGTCACTACCCAATCTGTAAGGGAGAACGGGGCAGTGTTGCCAACTTCCTTGCTAGATTTAGATAATATTGAGACCCCTTTAATAACTTCTTTTCCAAAAACCTACAAGTGAAAAATCTAGTGACATTCTGGGCAGAGTTTAGTTACGTCCAACGAGGGAGAGTCACCAGGACTGCCCATTAGGAGTAAGTCTTACTTGCTGGATGTAGGAATGCCCCTCTCAGCTTCTACTCTGCTCAGTGAGTGGGTGAGAGGATAGGACAAAAATCTGTAGCCAAATAAAGTAATATGAATACAATTAAGCCAGGCTTAACTATTTTCTCTCTAAGATAAACAAGAACAAAATCCCTGCCTACAAAGAGAGGTAAAAAAATCGAGACAAGTGGAGGCACTAGCCATAAACCTAGCATTTTTAGCATAAAGATACTTATATGAATGAAAGGGTGGAGTGTACCCTATCTCACCTAGTCCTACCTCCCACCACACATCTTTAATACCTAATCTTACAGCAATTCACAAAACACGTTGGCCTGTCAGGCAATCTCTCCCTGTTTCTGTTCCCAGCATATAACCTCCTCCTTATCTATACTGCTTATCCTGAACAGGGTCATTAGGGGCTGGAGCCAAACCCAGCTGACAGCTGAGTCCCCACAGTGTGAGTGTGTTAACAGATTTCAGTCCTCATATTACTCATAGGTAATACAAAGGCACAAAAACCCTGGGTGCTGGATGTGGTTTCCCCCAGCCTCACCCACTGGAGTCTGTCAGAAAGCTGGTTATCCACTGACAGGTGTGGGCAAGTGTGGAGGCCATCTGGGATGATGGGGTTGAACGCCAAGCTGAAGTCCACAGAAGGCATTTTTCCATTATAGGAACCTACTGAAATGTGTTGTACCGAATAAGTGGTTCTGTGTTTGTTTCTACTACGGTGCACCCGCTTTTGGAGGTGCATTCAGCACCTCTCAGGAGGTAGTACTAATATCAAGTATCAGGAACGCGAGGGGAGAGGGGTGTGTGTGCATGCAGAGCAGTCACTGGTGATTGATTAAATGTCCATGTTTTCACACATCAAGCATTAGCATTACAAGCACTGTGTGTAAACAAACAGCTGACTGCATGCGTGAGAGGGGAGCAGCCCCTCCCTCTTTTAAACAGAGACCGACACATATAAAATACAGTGGAAAAACAAAGCAGAATGGTCCACATCAATCCTGGAGGCTGTGCTTGGTGATGGTTAAGGGACGTATGGGGTAGACTGCTCATTAGGTTTTGATAGTGGAAACACAGAAAAAGAGGATCCGTTCATAGATCTCTGGGGAGTCGAAGTGTCGCAGAATGTAATGCAGTGCCACATTCACTGCATCATCCACTCACCTGTTTGCCTGGTAGGCAAACTGCAGGAAGTCCAGCAGGGTGTCTACTATATCCTTCAGGTGGGCCAACACCAGTCTCTCAAAGGACTTCTTAACTGCGGGTGTCAGGGTGACAGGTCTGTAGTCATTCAATCTTCTGATGGATGATTTCTTGGGAACAGAGATGAGGATGGAGCATTTGAAGCAGGAGGGGATTTCACACTTCCCCACCCATCAGTCAGAACTGAAGAAGTCTCTCAGATGAGAGGTAACTAGTCTTCAAAGGAACCTCAAGCAGGTTCAGTTGCAAATTTGATCATTTTGGATAATCTTCTTTCACTTCATTTACTGGCCGCTCCCCTTTTTGGGAACCAGTATGATCCACAAATGTGATTTGGCACAGTTTTTTAAATAATTTTTTAAAATTTTATTTACATTGGATGCCTTTCTTGATGCAAATCTCCCATTTAATCTGGGCCTGGGACCAGCGCTTGTGCTGGCTTTTGCAACTGCAGTGGCTTGTTGTAGCCACAATACCTGGTATCCCCGGGTAGTTGCCCACATAGCCACGAGAAACAAAGGTGCTGGTGTGATGGAAATTTTAAAGTGAGCCTGGAGAAATAAAGATTGAACAACCATGTTGTCTTTGTGTATTTTATTTCTTGCCAGAAAGTTCAGTCACTTATACAGAATGTCATCCAGTCTGCAGAGTGAGTGACCAAGGAAAGAAGTAAGAGGTTTTGTATAACTCTGGTCAGCTATCACCCCCTTGGTTGGAAACAATCAGAAAAGTGTCTTAGGTATGCAACCTTCATAGGTATCTTTCAGATTAGAAGCTGGACTCGGAGAGTTAAGATGTGCAGGCAACAGGCTGTGTGTGTGTGTGTATCAGTAGAGACTGTGTGTGTGTGTATGAAGTATGCATATGTGTATAGATGTGTGTAGGGGTTTTTGGGAACTGAATGCGTGGAGTGTCTGGGAGGAAAGCAAACAGTCTGGGAGAAAAGGAAAACACAGAGCTAAGGTACAAATACATACAGTAGATAGTATAAGTATTATTTTTATTTCCCTTCACCTAAGGCTAGGTTGTAACCTTGATACAGTGTTTCCATAGCAGTAATACAGACAGAAGTTTCAAATATGAGAAAGAGAAATATATTGCATGAGAAGAACAAAAGCACATAACCCAATAATTTCCATTACATGGAGGTGCTGCACCCCTACGTCTATATGGCTGAAAATGTTATATATTTATGCCATTTTATTTTGTTTTAATTTGAATTGGCACATTTCATATTACCTTTTCTAGTCCCTGAGACCAGTAGGCTAATAGGTTGTTGAAGTTAAAAATAGATTAAAGTAAAATGAAAATTTCTGCTAGGTGCACCAGAATGAGGAGCACCCAGTTGGATACTGACTGGATCGTACCGTTTCCACTCCCCATCACTTGTAGTGAGTGACAGCAGTGTGACTTTTCTGTTATGGTAGCTTGAACACAGAGACGAGCGAGCGGGAAAAAGACGGACCCAGGTAGCTGGCTTCGGTGCAAGCAGTGAGATTTATTTACAGTGATACAATGCAATACTAGAGACATGATGTAGGTAGGGGTAACCGGGTGTTGATCAGCAGCAGATGCAAAACAGTCAGTGGTATGGTAGATGATACATCCTTCAGGTGGGCCAACACCAGTCTCTCAAAGGACTTCTTAACTGCGGGTGTCAGGGTGACAGGTCTGTAGTCATTCAATCTTCTGATGGATGATTTCTTGGGAACAGAGATGAGGATGGAGCATTTGAAGCAGGAGGGGATTTCACACTTCCCCACCCATCAGTCAGAACTGAAGAAGTCTCTCAGATGAGAGGTAACTAGTCTTCAAAGGAACCTCAAGCAGGTTCAGTTGCAAATTTGATCATTTTGGATAATCTTCTTTCACTTCATTTACTGGCCGCTCCCCTTTTTGGGAACCAGTATGATCCACAAATGTGATTTGGCACAGTTTTTTAAATAATTTTTTAAAATTTTATTTACATTGGATGCCTTTCTTGATGCAAATCTCCCATTTAATCTGGGCCTGGGACCAGCGCTTGTGCTGGCTTTTGCAACTGCAGTGGCTTGTTGTAGCCACAATACCTGGTATCCCCGGGTAGTTGCCCACATAGCCACGAGAAACAAAGGTGCTGGTGTGATGGAAATTTTAAAGTGAGCCTGGAGAAATAAAGATTGAACAACCATGTTGTCTTTGTGTATTTTATTTCTTGCCAGAAAGTTCAGTCACTTATACAGAATGTCATCCAGTCTGCAGAGTGAGTGACCAAGGAAAGAAGTAAGAGGTTTTGTATAACTCTGGTCAGCTATCACCCCCTTGGTTGGAAACAATCAGAAAAGTGTCTTAGGTATGCAACCTTCATAGGTATCTTTCAGATTA